CTCTCTCTCTCTCTCTCTCTCTCTCTCTCTCTCTCACTCACTCACTCACAAACACTATGTTTAATATTATTTGTTAGTGGAATTATTATTTTATAAAATCATGTTGTTGATTTTTGTATTTTTATTACATAAATAAATATTTATGTATTTAGTACTTGAAAACTAACATCATTCTTTATAAGTATTTAATATAAATTCATACTGTACATATAAACCCTTTTACATTACTGTACCTAAGAAACTGATATAAATTGTATCAAAGGTATACTGGAATTACATGAGTACACTATTACTCAATTAATCGTATCATAAATCATATATTGATATGTCATATGAATTATTTAAACTAAAGTGGTTAGGCTGATAATAACCTAAAAGTCATACAACTTTTTGTGTACAAACACACCGGGAGGTATTGGTTGATAAGCACGTGCTTTAAGTTGGAAGTTTTATTTAAGCATAAATAATCAGGCACAAATAAACTTTTTATAAATTACAATACATAACACATTAAAAACTTATAATTGATATTGGAAATCGGTCATTTTAATTAGAATGATTATCAGTTGTCACGTTTTTTGACAATAGTTTATTAACTTTAATGACATTAACATTAAGAAAAGTATTTATATTTATTAAATATTTTTAAACAGTCTTTTATTTTGCTTGGCACATTTTATTATACTTATTATGTACCTGTATTTTAGTAAATTTGATAGTAATTTAAGAATTATAATAAAAATTTAAGACATTTTCAAAGTTTATAAGATTTTATGAAACTCTTGATTAGCATTGCTTTCGCAGTGTTGTATCAATCGGTTGACAGCAATGTCCGCATCACTCGAGTCACGCATTTGTTCGCAAATATTCACAAATATTTGCATTTTTCTCAATAGGTATGTGTTCTGTGAATAAAAATTATTAATTATACACTAATTATAAATATATCAAACAAAACTTACTTGAGCTAGATTAAAACAATTCTCATTGAAAGTGTCGACCAGTTTTCGATAGCATTCATGATTATTGAGCTCTTGTTTCGTATGGAGTATAGCATTGGTTGCGATGTTTGGCATTAAGTGTTGAATACTTTTCACGTATTCAGTCATATGGTTGTCCGCATACTGTCTGGCCTTAAGAAAATGCTCCAACTCTTCGGTATACCTATTATTATAATAAATTTTATTTTATAATTTTAACCTCAAAAGTATTAAATTTATTATAATATTACTTAATCTTCAAATGCAAGTCATTTGTAAATTTAATACGTCTCTGTAGTAAATCCAGTGAAACATCCCATTTGCTAATTGCATCATAATTTTGTGCATATTTATCAACAGTTTGCTGTAACTGTTTTGAAGGTTTATGACCTGGGTATTTAGAAATATATTTATTTGCAAATAATTATTGTAAGTAAAAAATCTATATTAATTTTTATAGCCCTACCTAAAAATTCCGATACATATAAGTTGCCCAGTGACATATCGCCGTAGTGTTGAGCATGCTGAGTTGCACCACTTACATTATATCTATCAGCGAAATATTTATACTGCTCCTGAAAGGTCTCCTTGGTCAAATCAAAGTTCTGATCATTTTCTAGCCAATTGTTTGCAAAGAATGCACCTTGATATAAAAAAAACACATTAAAACATCATAAATACCTTATAAATTTTTTTTTTATAATAGTGTTAGGCATGTATGTTTGATTTGAATCTACCAAGCTCACAACTCACTTAAATATGTGCCACGTGTCTTATCGTAATTCCAGAACCAACTGTCCTCAGTGGGCAGGGATGACGTGGCCGCGTATACATTGATATTATCAGGCAAGTGCTTGTAAAACATGGAACCTAGGTAACATTATTTTAAAAATAATATTACGATAAAGGGATAAGCTTGTTTCATGCAAATTGTAGCATCATACCTGAATGACACGTATCTATATAAAATACAAGCTTGGCGAATTTTTGTTTGCTATGCATATCAATGAGCGCGTTATTTAAATCTTTAGCATACAGAATGCCCGTGGCAAATGATACCAGGTCTATTTAACACAAATCGTGAAAATTAATTTTACTTGTTATTATATGCCATATAAATATCTACCATTTGATCCGTGGTCACCGAAGTAAGCAAATATGTGATCGTTTGGTCCACTTTTAATTACTTTTTTACCTTGGTCAGCCAATTGCTGATCGCCAGTTAGTGCCCCCAAAAAGTTCTTAATAATTATAATTAATTTTAAATTTTAAATGAATTAAAAATGAACTATTTTTGTTTACTTTAGGGGTGACGTCCTTTCCGGTGTAGTCTTTTGGGACACCCTTATAGACATCGGGACCTCCGATCTCATTGATTACTATACCGGGTGTCGGGTTTTCGCTGTTATAAGCGATGTCGTCGTAATGGAAAATAATTATATGGTCTTCAGGTATGCCATACGACCTGAACATATGGTAGGCTCGGTATACCAGTGCCTGTGATTTAGATAAAAATAATAAATAATAAAATATTTGCATTAATTATCTAAACATACCTGGTCAGCATAATTCTCCCATCCATTACTACCAGCGCATAGTAGCACCCATTTTGTTACGTTATTAGCCTGGGTCAATTGCGCGCTTAGTGGTATAGCACTTGCTGTTAAACAAATAGCTGAAAATATTAGCAAGGATATCATTATTATTAAATTATATAGATTATTACAATGGTTATTAAAAGTAAATAAATTTTGTAATATAAACTCACTATTTATACAATGTAAACTAGCATAATTAGTTGCAATCCTATTAGGTAATTACAAAAGTATAATGGTGATTATCAATGTGCCTAAGAAAGTTCATGTGATTTTCAAAATAATCTATGTACTGTAGTTGTTTTTATAAAATACTTAAAATTAGATAATAATAATAATTATTATCATTAGATATTAAGTGTACTTATACTTATTATGTATTACTTAGAAATCAAGTGGGGTAATTTATTAAAGACTTTTTAGAAAATTTTATTATATCTTAGACTTTTTGAGAGTTTTTAAAATAATATAAATAAATATCTGTTTTAAAATTAAAAAGCACAAATGGTTTGTATTATTAATATACAATACAGTAAAGATCTTAATGTAATAGTTTAGTTATTTTAGCAATTTAAGTTTAAAATTAAAGGTAGAATTAAAATTATAAAGTACAATTAAAATTGATTAATTCAAATTAATGTTAAGTTTATAACATTTGTTATAAATAAAACAACAAATGCAATTAATAATTATATTTCTTTTTAATTCTTAAAAATTATTTTAATAAAATCTTTTTGAATAATTTAATTAATTTTGAAGTGCAATATTCATTAAAATTTAAACAATATTTTCAAATATTTTATGATTTCTATCGCAGTGTTGTATCAATCGGTTGACAGCAATGTCCGCATCACTCGAGTCACGCATTTCTTCGCAGATATTCACAAATATTTGCATTTTTCTCAATAGGTATGTATTCTGTGATAGAAATTATTATTAATTTAATTGACTAATTAAATATTTTTAAAAATAAAATGTATAACAACTGCATACTTGTGATAAGTTAAAACAGTGTTCATTGAAAGTGTTGACCAGTTTTTGATAACATTCATGATTATTGAGCTCTTGTTTCGTATGGAGTATAGCATTGGTTGCGATGTTTGGTATTAAGTGTTGAATACTATTCACGTATTCAGTCATATGTTTGTCCGCATAGTGTCTGGCATTTAGTAAACCCTCCAACTCTTCGGTATATCTATTATTAACACATATTTATTAATTAAATAAATATTATATTAATAATTAATATTTACTTTTGTTTTTCTAACACATCATTAGTCTCATCAATACGTCTGTGAAGTAAATACAGAGAGACATCCCATTTGTTAACCGCACTATAATGTTGCTCAGAATCTCTTGCTTGATCAATTAAGACACTATTATGTGGTTTATGTCCTGTTTTAGTAAAATAATGTTTTTAAAATTTTTATCTAAGATTTTAATATTTAATTATTTACCTAAAAATTCAGATATATGCAATTTTCCAAATGTCATATTGCCATAACGTTGTGCATATTGTTCACCAGGGGCATCTGGATCAGTAACATTCCATAAGTCAGCAAAATATTTAAATTGCTCATCAAATGTTTCATGCTCCAGGTCATTTGTTTCATCATCTATTAACCAATGGTCAGCGAACCATGATCCTATTTTCAATATCAAAATTGTATTTAATTATTTGAATTTAATTACTTTTAACTTATTGTTTTAAAAAATAGTAAGTTATCATGTACCAATCATAGTTTTTAAAGTTTTATCATATTTCCAAAAGTAGCTAGGTTCAGTGGGAGTTGATGAGGTTACGGCATAGACATTAATATTGTCGGGTAACAGCTTATAGAACATTGAACCTGTTGAATAATTTTAAAATTTCTGATATTAGTTTAAAGTATACCAAGCTCATTTCATAAATAATTACCAGATTCACATGTATCAATGTAAAACACTAATTTTGCAAATTTATTATCCTGGTGCATACGCTTCAAAGCCGCGTTTAACTCAGTTGCGTAAAGTGAACCTGTTGCAAAACTTACACCGCCTGTTATATAATAGTAAAACTTGTTAAATCATTTTATTTAAAAATAATTATATCTATAAATTACCCGGAAATCCATGGTCACCAAAATATGCGAATATATGATCGTTAGGTCCACTATTCACCACCTTTTTGCCCCTTTTAGCTAACTCTTGGTCACCCTGTAGTACGGCTAATAAATTCTGAAATGATTTTTTTATATAAAATATATTAATATAGATTATAGTATTGTATTATAATAATTAATAAATTAAATTTATACACTAGGGTTGACATCCTTTCCGGTGTAGTCTTTTGGGACACCCTTATAGACATCGGTGCCGTTGTACTCATTGATGACAATACCGGGGGTCGGGTTTTGTTTATTATACGCGATGTCGTCGTAATGAAAAATTATGATATTTTCTTCGGGTATACCATAAGACCGGAATAAATGATAAGCCCGGTACACTATTGCCTAGGTTAATTAATTTTAAAACTGTCAACAATTTGTGTAAAAATATTGTTTAAA